TTGTCTCTCTCGTGTTTGTTTTAATAAAGCCAAGGGACAAATCTTTGTAGATGGGAAGAAAAACCCATTTTCTAAAATCAAGGTTTCTTGATGAAAATGTGAATGAATGAGATGGATCAGAATCCCACCCCACCCCAGGCTCGCATCCCAGCTGAGATTTGAGTGGAACTGTGTCTCAGTTATTCTGCAAGCCTTTACCTTAGAAAAATTAGTGTTTTTAAAACTCCATTAAACTAATCAAAATAATATGCACTGAAGTATGAAAAAAACAGCCTTTGGAGATTAGCAAACAAGGTCATAATTCTGGCTCCTCATTAGTAAATTATAGAATGACTCCAGCAGGTTATTTAACTTTTGTGAGCTTGGGAAGAGGCACACAAAAGTGCTTATCTCAAAAGACTCTAGGTGGAGATTAATCACGATAATGTACAAGGATACTTCAAAAAGTTCATGGAAAAATAAAATGGAAAGATAATGTGGGGGGATGGCCAGTTATCTCAGTTGGTAGAACTCAGTGCTGATGACACTAAAATCAAGAGTTTGGATCCCCGTAGCAGCCAGCTGTCAAAAAAAAAAAAAAAAAGATAATACAAACCTTTCCATGAACTTTTAAAAATACTTTGTATATAAAGCCACTAGCCACACATGGCTATCTAGTGCTGAAAATGTGGCTTGTGGTAACTGAGATGTGCTGTGTGAAATATACACATTTCAAAATCTTAGTACGGGGCCGAGCCCGTGGCGCACTCGGGAAAGTGCGGTGCTGGGAGCGCAGCAGTGCTCCCGCCACGGGTTCGGATCCTATATAGGGATGACTGGTGTGCTCACAGTGCTCACTGGCTGAGCGCGGTGCGGCCTGTCTCAAAAGGACCAAAAAAAAATCTTAGTATGAAAAAAAGAATGTAAATTATCCCCCATTTTTCAAAAAAATATTGATTACATGCTGAAATAATATTGTGAAATATATTTAAAAACTTTAAATTGCACAACTAAATGTATAGGTCTACATTACAGACCAACAAAAATGACAGCTTGTGTTGCAGGGTTGACTTCTTGAGATAACCCTGAATCACTAAAAACCCCAAGATTGCTGCCTTCATTTACTTTTTCAGTTATCTTGCAAGGGTAACTGTTTAAAAATTGTGATCATATGCCTGTGGGCATCAAAGAACTAAAAACAAAAAATAAGAAATTTGAAAATGACATTCGACAGATGATATCCATAAACTCCAATAGCAAAGCAGTATCTGTTCTCAGTACTTGATCTTTGAAGAACGTTATGACTTGGAACCTAAAATCCACATCAACGCTTCTTTAATAAGCTTTATATATTGGCAT